CCAGTGGGAGAGGTACTCACCGATCTTGTAATGAGGAAACATACACTGTAACTATAAGGAAATGCGGCATTCCTGTACCAAATGAAGATCTTTAATTCATCATACAGCTTATGGCTCAGGGAAAACACATTTCACGTATAGTTGCACTTATTCGTAGTGCTTTGTTGAAAAGTCGACCAATAAATGCATCTATGTTGCTTCATTACAAGACCCGTCAGTGCCTCTCCCACTGAACCGTTTCGATCTACTTGCCTTGAGTGCATTGGACGTTTATTTTGATTACTATCTCTCAAGAACTCTATTATTGAGATCTCTGATCTGAGTTCCCGGGTCTGTACCCCCGCTGTGCCCATTATGAGGGGCTCCCACCATCCCTGTGCTGAGTTCCCGGGTCTGTACACCCGCTGTGCCCATTATGAGGGGCTCCCACCATCCCTGTGCTGAGTTCCCGGGTCTGTACACCTGCTGTGCCCATTATGAGGGGCTCCCACCATCCTCTAATATTAGGTTGTATCTATTCATCAGCCATTCCGCATGTACAGTTATTCATGGGACATGGAAATGATTTGCATGGCTCCATTCACTATCCGTAAATCAGGAGTTGATCTGAACTCAATAAGTAAAGATTTTCTATGTTATGGGGGAACATCTAGAAATGTTAATGTTCTCTCACAAATGTGTCCATTGCCCTGACGTCCTCCTGAAGAATAGAACGCTTCCAGGCTCCACTGTGCTGTGAATGCATTCAGTTGGGAGGGATTTTTGATGCCTTTCGTCCCATGTGACCAGAACCTTAGATGTTGTATAACCATTAAACGTCCATTTGCTTTGCTGGGTCCTACAGCTGCCCTGCTGGTCCCGGGCTGTGCAGAGCTAATTGCCATCATACTCACGGTCACACGATATTCCGTTCCACAACAGGCTTGTTCAAAATGAAACGCTCGAAGCCAAAGGGCGTCAGGTTCAAGGTCTTAAAATCTCCTTGAATCAGCAGCTCCGCCACTGCCCGCCCCACCGCCGGAGCCTGCTGCAAGCCGTGCCCGCTGAACCCGCAGGCAAAGTACATGTTCTGCACCAGCGGGTGCGTCCCGATCACTCCGTTTTGGTCAAACGTGTTGTAATCATAATATCCCGCCCAGGCCGATCTCACCTAAGAAAAAAAACACAACGAACGTGGCTTCACCTTCTACTTATAGAGCGCCGATAGTTTGCGCAGCACTTTACAAAATGGAGGGAGACAATACAGGTAACAGTATCATTTCAATACAAGAAGGTTAGGAGGGCCCTGCTCATGAGTGGCAAGTGATACATAAGATAATAATTGCATAGGATGAGATAATGGAAGAAGTAAAAGGACAGTTATTATGTGGAGGTGGGATCGGCTTCACTGAAGAGAAGAGTTTAAGGATCGCCTAAAGGTGGACAGCACAAGAGATAAGCAGATTGGTAGGGAGTTCCAGAGGATGGGAGATGCTCTGGAAAAGTCCTGGAGGAGAGCATGGGAGGAGGTAATTAGAGAGCTGGAGAGTAGGAGGTCTTGGGAGGAGTGAAGAGGACGGTTTGGAAGATTTTTTTGGAGATGAGAATTTTTTTATGTTGGGTAAGTGGGAGCGAGTGGAGGGATTGACAGAGGGGGGATTTGGGATGGAAGCCAGTGGAGGGATTGGCAGAGAGGGCGGTGGAGGAGGGAAGCCAGTGGAGGGATGGGCAGAGGGGGGGTGGAGGATGGAAGCCAGGGGAGGGATTGGCAGAGAGATGTGAGGGATGGAAGCGAGGTGTAGGGGGAAGGAGCACAGTGGAGGGATTGGGAGAGGGGGGGGGCGGAGGATGGAAGCCAGGGGAGGGATTGGCAGAGAGATGTGAGGGATGGAAGCGAGGTGTAGGGGGAAGGAGCACAGTGGAGGGATTGGGAGAGGGGGGGGGCGGAGGATGGAAGCCAGGGGAGGGATTGGCAGAGAGATGTGAGGGATGGAAGCGAGGTGTAGGGGGAAGGAGCACAGTGGAGGGATTGGGAGAGGGGGGGGGCGGAGGATGGAAGCCAGGGGAGGGATTGGCAGAGAGATGTGAGGGATGGAAGCGAGGTGTAGGGGGAAGGAGCACAGTGGAGGGATTGGGAGAGGGGGGGGGCGGAGGATGGAAGCCAGGGGAGGGATTGGCAGAGAGATGTGAGGGATGGAAGCGAGGTGTAGGGGGAAGGAGCACAGTGGAGGGATTGGGAGAGGGGGGGGGCGGAGGATGGAAGCCAGGGGAGGGATTGGCAGAGAGATGTGAGGGATGGAAGCGAGGTGTAGGGGGAAGGAGCACAGTGGAGGGATTGGGAGAGGGGGGGGGCGGAGGATGGAAGCCAGGGGAGGGATTGGCAGAGAGATGTGAGGGATGGAAGCGAGGTGTAGGGGGAAGGAGCACAGTGGAGGGATTGGGAGAGGGGGGGGGCGGAGGATGGAAGCCAGGGGAGGGATTGGCAGAGAGATGTGAGGGATGGAAGCGAGGTGTAGGGGGAAGGAGCACAGTGGAGGGATTGGGAGAGGGGGGGGGCGGAGGATGGAAGCCAGGGGAGGGATTGGCAGAGAGATGTGAGGGATGGAAGCGAGGTGTAGGGGGAAGGAGCACAGTGGAGGGATTGGGAGAGGGGGGGGGCGGAGGATGGAAGCCAGGGGAGGGATTGGCAGAGAGATGTGAGGGATGGAAGCGAGGTGTAGGGGGAAGGAGCACAGTGGAGGGATTGGGAGAGGGGGGGGGCGGAGGATGGAAGCCAGGGGAGGGATTGGCAGAGGGAGGCGGGGGATGGAAGTCAGTGGAGGGATTGGCAGAGAGATGTGGGGGATAGAAGAGAGTTGTAGGGGGCAGGAGCCCAGTGCAGGGATTGGCAGAGGGGGGATGCAGACACTGAGCGGTTGGTGAGGTGGATGAGTCTGGCAGCTGCATTCCTGATAGACTGAAGGGGGGAGGAGCCTGTGTAGTGGTCGGCCAATGAGGAGGGAGTTACAGTAGTCAAGGCGATATTACAAGGGAGTGAATTAGAAGCCATGCGGTAGGGATGCACTGATGCCGAGTAATAATACCCGTATCTGCCCCTGAGGTCCGGGTCCTCCCGCGGGTCGCTATCCCTGTGTTGTGGGTGACACTTACTTTCAGTGACTCAAACGCAGGTACTCTGTGCGCCAGGAGCGGCCACACCTTCTCGTCGAAATAATTGAGATCTACATCCAAATTGCTGGCGTCGGGCTCCTCTTCCTACAGGAATAAGCAAACGGTTACCCCGATCCCGGAACTTTTTTTTAGTCACATGATGTAGTCAAATGATGTGATGGCAGAATGCCGGGGAGCAGATTTAAAGTGACATTAAACCCTCAGATTTTTTTTACATAAACCAATACTGTAATGTGCGCCTTACTGTAATCCATGGTTGTTTCCCTTCTCTCTGCTGCTCTTCCTTTTAAATCCTCATCTCTTCTCATGCTGGGGGAGAACTTCCCTTTTCAGCTCAGGGCCTCTTCCTGTAGTGCTGGCTCAGGTTACAGGCCTATAGAAACGTATACACAGACACCGTGTATCCATTCCTGAGACAAGGCAGTCTGCTGCAAAACAGAAGAAGTTCTGCCCAGCATGAGAAGAGAGACGGATTTAAAAGGAAGAGCAGCAAAGAGAAGAGAAACAACCATGGATTACAGTAAGGCGCACATTACAGTATTGGTTTATGTTAAAAAATTTGGAAAGCCCAATTCCAGTTTTTGTTTTTTTTGCCCCCCGGCACAGATCAAAGCTCAGGCTGCAATAGTCACCTGCCTTCCGGAGCCGTCCCTCGCAGCAATGCCTTTTTCCGCCACAAGGTGTCACCCGGTTTGAATGACGTCCAGTGTCATTCAACCATAGAGACTGACGACATCCTCGGGGGAGTCGCCACGGCGCCCTGTAATCTCAGCCCTCTACGTCATCAAATTGTAACCAATCAGCTTCTCTCTTTGAGTTGAACTTTGACAATGAAAGATGGGAGCTGATTGGTTGCAATGGGCAACTGCTGCAGATTCTGTCTGCTCCAGCTGTGATAAATTACCCTAAAAGCACATAATACTGGGGCCTCCAGCAAGTGTAGAGGGAAGGACGGGCCTGGTTGGGTTTTAACCCAATTCAGACAATGGGAGCCAGCAGTGGGGCAGTGATGGAGGAAGCTGCAAAGATGCACGCTTTCAATGTACTCGTTTCCAGTGTGGAGGGCAATGTAAACCACAAGGCCAAACAGAAGTAGGGAGAACTTCCCTTTTCAGCTCAGGGCCTCTTCCTGTAGTGCTGGCTCAGGTTACAGGCCTATAGAAACGTATACACAGACACCGTGTATCCATTCCTGAGACAAGGCAGTCTGCTGCAAAACAGAAGAAGTTCTGCCCAGCATGAGAAGAGAGACGGATTTAAAAGGAAGAGCAGCAAAGAGAAGAGAAACAACCATGGATTACAGTAAGGCGCACATTACAGTATTGGTTTATGTTAAAAAATTTGGAAAGCCCAATTCCAGTTTTTGTTTTTTTTGCCCCCCGGCACAGATCAAAGCTCAGGCTGCAATAGTCACCTGCCTTCCGGAGCCGTCCCTCGCAGCAATGCCTTTTTCCGCCACAAGGTGTCACCCGGTTTGAATGACGTCCAGTGTCATTCAACCATAGAGACTGACGACATCCTCGGGGGAGTCGCCACGGCGCCCTGTAATCTCAGCCCTCTACGTCATCAAATTGTAACCAATCAGCTTCTCTCTTTGAGTTGAACTTTGACAATGAAAGATGGGAGCTGATTGGTTGCAATGGGCAACTGCTGCAGATTCTGTCTGCTCCAGCTGTGATAAATTACCCTAAAAGCACATAATACTGGGGCCTCCAGCAAGTGTAGAGGGAAGGACGGGCCTGGTTGGGTTTTAACCCAATTCAGACAATGGGAGCCAGCAGTGGGGCAGTGATGGAGGAAGCTGCAAAGATGCACGCTTTCAATGTACTCGTTTCCAGTGTGGAGGGCAATGTAAACCACAAGGCCAAACAGAAGTACAGATACTCCTCGCAAAGTGTCGTAGTGGACATACAATAACTCCGAGACACAGTGTGTGGTCACTCACCTCTGGTGGGGAGAGACCTCCAATGTAGTTGCCCCCGAATCCTTCTCTTCGAAAATACGCCCCAGAGCTGTCAATCAACAGCGGGCAGTCCATCCCGGGGCCATTGGGGCTGTTAAATACATAGATATAAAATAAAGCTTTGCTGTGTCACAGGGAACATCTAAAAATGTTAATTGTGCCTAACCCTGAAAAAGTATCTTATCCGCAGCTCCTCCTGAAAATATCAGTGCACTTCCTGTGTCTAGGCACTCCTGATATCAGTGCACTGTGCCTAGGTGCTCCTGATATCAGTGCACTGTGCCTAGGTGCTCCTGATATCAGTGCACTGTGCCTAGGTGCTCCTGATATCAGTGCACTGTGCCTAGGTGCTCCTGATATCAGTGCACTGTGCCTAGGTGCTCCTGATATCAGTGCACTGTGCCTAGGTGCTCCTGATATCAGTGCACTGTGCCTAGGTGCTCCTGATATCAGTGCACTGTGCCTAGGTGCTCCTGATATCAGTGCACTGTGCCTAGGTGCTCCTGATATCAGTGCACTGTGCCTAGGTGCTCCTGATATCAGTGCACTGTGCCTAGGTGCTCCTGATATCAGTGCACTGTGCCTAGGTGCTCCTGATATCAGTGCACTGTGCCTAGGTGCTCCTGATATCAGTGCACTGTGCCTAGGTGCTCCTGATATCAGTGCACTGTGCCTAGGTGCTCCTGATATCAGTGCACTGTGCCTAGGTGCTCCTGATATCAGTGCACTGTGCCTAGGTGCTCCTGATATCAGTGCACTGTGCCTAGGTGCTCCTGATATCAGTGCACTGTGCCTAGGTGCTCCTGATATCAGTGCACTGTGCCTAGGTGCTCCTGATATCAGTGCACTGTGCCTAGGTGCTCCTGATATCAGTGCACTGTGCCTAGGTGCTCCTGATATCAGTGCACTGTGCCTAGGTGCTCCTGATATCAGTGCACTGTGCCTAGGTGCTCCTGATATCAGTGCACTGTGCCTAGGTGCTCCTGATATCAGTGCACTGTGCCTAGGTGCTCCTGATATCAGTGCACTGTGCCTAGGTGCTCCTGATATCAGTGCACTGTGCCTAGGTGCTCCTGATATCAGTGCACTGTGCCTAGGTGCTCCTGATATCAGTGCACTGTGCCTAGGTGCTCCTGATATCAGTGCACTGTGCCTAGGTGCTCCTGATATCAGTGCACTGTGCCTAGGTGCTCCTGATATCAGTGCACTGTGCCTAGGTGCTCCTGATATCAGTGCACTGTGCCTAGGTGCTCCTGATATCAGTGCACTGTGCCTAGGTGCTCCTGATATCAGTGCACTGTGCCTAGGTGCTCCTGATATCAGTGCACTGTGCCTAGGTGCTCCTGATATCAGTGCACTGTGCCTAGGTGCTCCTGATATCAGTGCACTGTGCCTAGGTGCTCCTGATATCAGTGCACTGTGCCTAGGTGCTCCTGATATCAGTGCACTGTGCCTAGGTGCTCCTGATATCAGTGCACTGTGCCTAGGTGCTCCTGATATCAGTGCACTGTGCCTAGGTGCTCCTGATATCAGTGCACTGTGCCTAGGTGCTCCTGATATCAGTGCACTGTGCCTAGGTGCTCCTGATATCAGTGCACTGTGCCTAGGTGCTCCTGATATCAGTGCACTGTGCCTAGGTGCTCCTGATATCAGTGCACTGTGCCTAGGTGCTCCTGATATCAGTGCACTGTGCCTAGGTGCTCCTGATATCAGTGCACTGTGCCTAGGTGCTCCTGATATCAGTGCACTGTGCCTAGGTGCTCCTGATATCAGTGCACTGTGCCTAGGTGCTCCTGATATCAGTGCACTGTGCCTAGGTGCTCCTGATATCAGTGCACTGTGCCTAGGTGCTCCTGATATCAGTGCACTGTGCCTAGGTGCTCCTGATATCAGTGCACTGTGCCTAGGTGCTCCTGATATCAGTGCACTGTGCCTAGGTGCTCCTGATATCAGTGCACTGTGCCTAGGTGCTCCTGATATCAGTGCACTGTGCCTAGGTGCTCCTGATATCAGTGCACTGTGCCTAGGTGCTCCTGATATCAGTGCACTGTGCCTAGGTGCTCCTGATATCAGTGCACTGTGCCTAGGTGCTCCTGATATCAGTGCACTGTGCCTAGGTGCTCCTGATATCAGTGCACTGTGCCTAGGTGCTCCTGATATCAGTGCACTGTGCCTAGGTGCTCCTGATATCAGTGCACTGTGCCTAGGTGCTCCTGATATCAGTGCACTGTGCCTAGGTGCTCCTGATATCAGTGCACTGTGCCTAGGTGCTCCTGATATCAGTGCACTGTGCCTAGGTGCTCCTGATATCAGTGCACTGTGCCTAGGTGCTCCTGATATCAGTGCACTGTGCCTAGGTGCTCCTGATATCAGTGCACTGTGCCTAGGCGCTCCTGATATCAGGGCACTTCCTGTGCCTCGGCGCTCCTGATATCAGTGCACTTCCTGTGCCTAGGCACTCCTGGTATCAGGGCACTTCCTGGGCCTCGGCACTCCTGGTATCAGGGCACTTCCTGGGCCTCGGCACTCCTGGTATCAGGGCACTTCCTGGCGCTCGGCACTCCTGGTATCAGGGCACTTCCTGGGCCTCGGCGCTCCTGATATCAGGGCACTTGCTGGGCCTCGGCGCTCCTGATATCAGGGCACTTGCTGGGCCTCGGCGCTCCTGATATCAGGGCACTTCCTGTAGGCATTCCTGGTATCAGTGCACTGTGCCTAGGCACGTCTGTTTTGTAGCCTCATTGCTTTATATCTCCAGTGTGAGATCATGCAAGTCACTGCTGACTGCTGGTCTGGAGATTTGGAGTGCAGTTTGGTGATGCCACTATTGCTCCTCACTGTTCTCCTTGCTGGTGGCTCTGACATGAGGAAGCAAAGCCATCCCTGTACCAAAATGGCTGCCTCCAACTAAGTCTGACCCCCCAATAATACCGACCTCTGTGCCTTCTATCCAGAGCAACCAGCACCCCAAACCCGACACTAAGCAACTAAGCCTAACCGCGCTAACTTCAAAAGCCCCGAATATTATATGTTTATATTCATTGCAGGTTCATCTACGCTCTACGAATCGGCTTCTCCTCCTACGTGGTCTCTTCGCCGCCCTCTCCTGGCTCACTGGACTCATTACACCCCGATTCTTGTCTTGTATGAATTGTGTGGCCGTGAACCAATGGGTGATGAAAAGGGCAACTCCCAGCAGAAACCATCACCTCTTTCTGGGCTCTACAGGAAGTTTTGTTCCTTCTGCTGAGTCAGGGTTCCCCGCGCCCACTCCAGCCAACTCTGCCACCTTCGCGGACCAGGCACCGGCAGCGTTAATGACCGCGGAACATTCCACCGACTGATTCTCCAGACTGTTCGGCATCGACACCTAGAATCAGATATCTGTAATGTATTTGTGCACAACTGTGCTGAGTTCCCGGGTCTGTACAACTGCTGTGCCCATTATGAGGAGCTCCCACCATCCCTGTGCTGAGTTCCCGGGTCTGTACACCCGCTGTGCCCATTATGAGGAGCTCCGACCATCCCTGTGCTGAGTTCCCGGGTCGGTCCTGTGCTGAGTTCCCGGGTCTGTACACCCGCTGTGCCCATTATGAGGGGCTCCCACCATCCCTGTGCTGAGTCCTAAGCGGTAATCATAGGTGCACACCTACTGGGATCCCTTCCTCCCACTCCCCCAGACTTACACTTACCTATCAAAGCATTTTGATATTTGCATAACTCCTCCTAAGAGCAGGGGCATCCCGAGACCAGGTGACACCCCGCTGTGTCGTCATCGCGCATGCGCGGCCATCTGATTGACGCCTGCCGGCGGCCATCTTGGTGATGTACGCCGGCAGAGAGAGGAGGGGACGTTCACCCGGCGGGATGAGGTATGCTGCCAGGTCCCCTCCTTTCTCCTGACACTGTCGGGCTCTCAATCCATGACCGAGTGCCGGACTTTTACTTTTTAGAGGGGGTGTCACCGCTCCAATGGTGTCCCCTGGGTGCGTAGTGATGACACTACCCAAGAGCCAGTACTCAGGCAGGGTGCTGTGATTTTCAGGAAGCTATGTACTGTATGTAGGCTGTTTGCATCCAGGGCCGCTCATCCACCCCGCCCCCCCATGATTTGTTTAGGCTGTATCCGAACTCCAGGGTGCCTCTCGGGCACATAAACACTACAGGCTGCACAACCCTCTGCGCCCGTGTGAATGAGACCCCAAAAGTATTCAACAATCTATCAAATCCGATGTTTGTGGCCCCCCACCGAACAACTACCGTTACGGAACATGCAGCTGCAGCCATGGTGAAGTGCCGGAGCCTCCAAAACCTGTCGGCTGTTTAACCTAAATATGAACGGATTCCAATGTTTTTGGACTTTTTGATCATTGGTGAGGCGCCCTTATTATATCTTTCACCTTTCAGCAGTAAACACCTGAGAGGGGGTGTAACCCTTCCACGCTCCTCCCAAAACCAAGGACAAATGTTTGGGCTCTACACACGCCTCATACAAAGCGAATGCGGACACGCAGCCCCCCTGAGCTGTGATCAGCGTTCAAAGACTTCCGGACTTACGACGGCGCTTTTGATGGTGGTCATGTATACCGCGTCCCCTTCGTCCGTCACCATCTCTTGCTTCGCGGTGTCGAAACCTGCCGAGAAGAACGGTCACCGAACGCTTCAGACACGGGCCGAAATCTGTACAGATGAGGACTCGCTGGTGTCACTTACCCGTCACCTCCCCCTTGCAGTAATTCACCCCCATGGAAATCGCCTTCCGTCTGAGGGCATTGAGGAACCTCCAGGGGTCGAACCAGCCCTCGTTCTCCAGACCTGAGCGGAGGAGGAAAAAGGGATCAGCTTAAAGGGAAGCACCCCTCCTGCCCTCCAGGGAGGACCCCCCC